CGAAGATTTTTCTTTCCCCTTTGACTATAATAGACATTTTAGCTGGGTATAGTAATCTCGGTTGGCATCTGTGATCATTTAAAACTGGGAATACTTTGGTCTAGGGTCTTCTGGCTTTCATAGTTTACACTGAAAAGTCAGCTGTAATCCTAATGGGTTTTCCTTTATATGTGATTTATTGTTTCTCTTTTGCAGCTTTTAGAATTGTCTCTTTATTTTGTACGTGTAGTGTTTTTACTATGATGTGCCGTGGAGAGTTTCTTTCCTGGTCCTGTCTGTTTGGTGTTCTCTATGCTTCTTGTATTTGTATAGGCATGTCTTTGTTTAATTTTGGGAAATTTTCTTCTACCATTCTTTTGAAGATCTGGTCCATGCCATTATCTTGGGATTCTTCTCCTTCCTGTATGCCTATGATTCGTAAATTTGGTCTTTTTATGGTGTCACACAATTCCTGCATATTCCATTCTTGTGATTTCTTAAATTTTTCATAATCTTTGCTTGAGTTGTCTTCCAGACTTGATAGTCTGTTTTCCATTTCGTTCATCCTATTGGTGAGGCTTTTTCCTTTCGTTTCTTATTGGCTTACTGAGTGTTTCAATTCCTTCTTCATTTCAGCCTGAGTATTCTTCAACATTTCTAACTCTTTTCTGAATTCATTCAGTAGTTTATCCCTGTCTTCCTTCAGTTCTTTGATTTCTTTTTTAGTGTGTTCTTTAAATTCACTGAGTTCTTTTATCATGTTTATAATTGTTCTTTTGAGTTCTATGTCCTGCATTATCTCTAGGGGGTTCTCATTGTATTCCTCTAGAGGTCTATTGGTATTTGGTGGGTAATGTTATTTTGGTTTTTCATGTTACTATTTTTTCTCTGTGGTTTTGACATGTGAATTTCTTTTGTAGTTTCTGATTCTTGTGTGAGACTCAGGCCTTCAAATTTAGGCCTGCTTCTTTTTGTGAACTTTATGTATCTTTGTGGTTTACTTTTTGGGCATAAAAGGCTGGTTCCTCTAAGCTTCTAGTTCTCTCCTTTGATTTTATATTGGACTGGCCGGATTGCTTTTGTCTTCAGGAGTTCCCAGAGATGCCCAAGTCAGATGAGAATCAGATGCTCTCGGGCTTTCTCCTAAGGTCTGTACCCCTCCTGGCACAGTTTTGGCATCAGGAATTTGGGGGTTGGACTGGCCTGGGAGCCTGGCCCAGGAAAGGTGCTGGTCTAGGGTAGCTGGTGGCCATGCCACCCAGAGATGCAAAGGCAGATGGGACCGGAAGAGGCCCTAAGGCCTCCTGGGGATTGCTCTGAGGAGCTGGGTTGGTCTGGATGCAAAGGATCCGGAAGAGGAAAGGTCAGCCCCAGAATCCCAGAAAGAGGCTGGGGGGTGGTGCAGGCCCAGGGAAGCAGAGGGAGGTGAGAGCGGGGCCAGGCCCAGAAGCAGAGCTACTGGGGCCCAGAGAAGGCACTCTGTTGGTCTGGATGAAAAGGATCAGGGAGCAGTATTGGTTCCCCAGGTGTCCAGGGCCCCAAGACAAGGACTGGGGCAGGGCCCAAACTTGGAGGAGAGAATGGCGGTGGAGATGGGAGGGTGAATGGGGCTGGGGGAGTCAATGTGCGGAGGGCGTGATGGACTTACCCCAGAGAGAGGCCTGCAGGTAGGAGCTCTATGCTATATTTTATGTTAACAAAATAAATACTACAGTCAAATGTCCATGGTAATGTAAACATCTAAAGCTGCATCTCTGATGATATACATCATTAGTAGGAGAAAAGGAATGGCTTTGATCATTTTTATTTTGTATGTGAGAAGAGAGGATATCCCAAAATTGTTTCATTTGAGTATTATATTCATTTTGTTTGGTTAGGAAATCCAGTGTCTGCCAAAATTGCTTCAGTCTGGCGAACTGACTATCCTGGTGACAGAAGAGTGTGAAACTGCCTGGCTTTTACATAGCAGAGTTTTCCTTAAAGGTTCCGTGTAGGTGGGAAATTTAAGGTGAAGTGCCAGCAGATTTGGTATCTGATTGAAGTCCTGGTTCCCGGTGCTCTCCTGCTGTTTCCTCAAATGGTGGAAGATAGGAGGGCGGCTCTCCGGGGCTTCTTTGAGAAGGACACTAAGCCAGTTTGTAACTGAGCTGCTCATGGTCCTGTTTCCCAGTTCTTCACTAGTGTCATTAGGTCACTGTTTTAGCAGCAAATTCTATGAAAGATGTACACTGAGACCATGACACTGTGACATGTTACCAGAGTCCCTGTTAGTCACTTTACAGATCTGAAGTTCCATTAAACCCCTACTAGACTATAGGGTTCTTGAAGGCTAAGAAATGTGTGTACTATTTTTTGACTCTCTAGAAGTTCTATCACCAGGCCTGCTGTAGGTGCTAAATACATATTCACTCAAATTGTTGAATCCTGATCTTGTTTGGTTCAGCTGTCAAATTCATATACTCACATGCTTGTGTAATAATGACATCTAAATTGATGCATTAATTTTGGTAGCATGTAATTTTTAAAAAAATGATTAATTTTAGCTAGGTATGGTGATGCACGCCTTTAGTCCCAGCACTTGAGAGGCAGAGGCCCTCAGATCTCTGTGAGTTCAATGCCAGCCTTGTCTATATAGTGAGTTCCAGGTCAGCTGGGGCTACAGGGAAACCCTGTCTCAAAAAGACCAAAAAAAAAAAAATTAATAATTAAAAAATTTTTGTGTATGACTCTTTTGCCTGCATGTATGTAAGGCCAAGAAATGTATGTAAGTGCACCACATATATGTAGTACCTGCAGAGGCCGAAAGAGGATGTTAGATCCCCTGGAACTGTAGTTACTGACAGTTAGCTGTCATGTGTGTGCTGTGAGCTGAACCCAGGTCCTGCAAGAGCAGCCAGTGCTCTTAACTGATGATCCATTTCTCCAGCCCTGGTAGCGTATAATTTTATGTAAGATTTTAAAGTAACTCACATAATTGTGATAACTGACACTTACTAGCTGTGCAGTGGACACTCTGCAAGGAACTTTGTGGGAAGCTGCTGTACTGTTGGCTAGTTTAATTCTAATAAAAATGCCAGAAAATAGAAACTATTTTTACCTTCAAGGAAATTGAGGCTCAGAAAGATGACTTAAGCAGCATGCTCAGGGTCATACGATTAGTGGATGGAAGGTCTGAGATTAACCCAGTCCTTGTTATTTATCACTTGCTATAATGAGCTTGCTGTGGAGCGGGAATGGGATGTATAGTGGTTCTGACTGCAGATTTGTCCCCATCTCTGACCTTCCGTTTTCCATTTTTCTTTTCCAGAAGTCATACTGTGTGGGTTCAAGAAGAGTGGAACTCTAGGAAAAACTGGTGGCCAGCCTTCCACTTCAGCTCCTTCTGGGCAAAGACTGACTGGAAGGAAGATACTGCTTTGGCTTTTGAGAAAGCTTATGTAGCTGGAATTCTGTTAGGAAAAGGTACATGGTTTGTTTTCTGTGTATCTTGCCATAACTTTTGACTGACTCTCATACTAGAAACTAAGACCATTTGTTTGCCTTAGAGCTTGCTTAAGGATTCTAGATGCTTGCAAAGTAACTGTGGAGTGGAAATGAACCCTGAGTTGGAATGAGGTCATAAGCTTACACGGGGTCCTGGGGGTTGTGTGTTTGGCATCCATTCTCTGACTTGAGTTATTTAGAGGCTTGAAATGCACAGTGCAGACTCTGGCCTGTGGGGTTTGCTGAGACTGTGCTCTTCAGGGAGCACAGAGGTCCTCTTCATAGACCGCATTGCTCTTCAGTAACTCTGTGTTCTATCGCTCACCTGTCTGTAAGGAAGAAACATCTCCAGAGAGAGAGGGAGAGAGAGGGGGAGGGGGACGGGGCGAGGGCCTCCTTTAACGGGGTCAAAAAGAAGAGAGTACCTCCTTTCACAGGGGTCACAAAGAAAAGGACATTTGATCTTTCACTGGGCTGTTCGGGCCAGTAAGACTCTTGCTGGCTTTATATCACTGGAATATGAGAAAGCAGACCACACTGAAACAGCTGCTGCCATGTGTCTAGCATGCCAGAAGGCTTCAGTGGTCGCCAGTGAGCAGGTGTTGCTGAGGGGAGCTGGAGCTCGCTTTTGCTTAGGGTTTGTTATTCTGGTTACCATCAGGGCATCCTGGGGCTCCCATTCTAGTCGCGATCTGCTTCTGCTTGGTGCCCCTTTTGGGGGCTTTTCCTCCTGAGAATTCAGTGACTACCTGCCCTGTGTCTTCTGCTCTCTTGTTGATTCAGTGTTTTGTTTTGCTTTGGTTTTTGTTAGGATAGGAATGAAATTCTTTCCAGATGTCTGTGTAGGTAAAAGCAGAAGTTTGGCTATAAGATATTTCATTTCTCCTAAAGTAGTATGGTATTTCTATGAATGCAAATTAGCATACCCAGCTACTTTGGAGGCTGCAGTACAAGGATCATTTGAGCCTAGGAGTTATAGAGAAGCCTGGGAAACATAGCCAGACCCTGTCTTGAAAAAAAGAAACATCAAAAATTACTTTAGTTACACAACTTCCAAGCTAAAATATTATCAATTGGTATGCTATTTTCAGTGATAATGAAACAGCTACTAAGGTATGGTTATATAACCTAGCAGTTTTTCAGAGAATATAGGTATATGTAAGCTAAGATTATAATGAAATTAATTTTTCATGTGATTATTTATTTATTTAATATGATTAACCACAGTTGGGCTTGGTGGTACTGGTTGCAGTCCCAGCTACTTGGTAGGTTGAGACAGGAGGATTACAAATTGAAAGCTTGCTAGGGTTACACAGTAAGTTCAAGGCCTCCCTGGGCAACTCAGCAGGACCTTTCTCAAAATAAAAAGTAAAAAGAGCTGGAAGATACAGTTTAGTGGTAGAGGACTTGCCTAGCATGTGCAAGGCCCTAGATTAGTCCCCAGAACTACATGTATGTCAGTATGCATGCATAGATAGATAATTGATAGATGGTAGATAGATAGATACAGACACACAGAAAAACAGACATAAAATCATTTACATTTTTCTTATAGAAACGGATTTCTCTGAAACACTTAGTGAATGTCCATCTTGGCATTGTAAGACTGAGACAGGTAGCCCTTTCAGGGAAGCTGGGCAGCTTTGTCAGAACTTGATCTTCACCTGCTGCTTGCTAGAAAGCTAAAATGAATCATGTTTGATGGCCTCTAACCTGTGATATTTTTATTCTAAACCTTCACACCATAATTTTCTACAGAGAACGTTGTCACTGTGATAGATGTCACTGTGACTGATTTTAAGCCAGCATTGAGAGGGAAGCTATGGTAATTTGCTTTTGGAGAAGACTCCTTTAATATATGAATATATATTATATGCATATCTCCATGTCTAAGGTTTAGTGGAAGAGTAGAAAACACTGAAGTGTATGCTTTAGTAATGATGGGTCAGACCTGTCTTCTGTACGTAGCCCTCCATTTCATTGGTGACAGCTCTTACAATATGCTTAGACCACATTGGTTTAGATAATGCAGAAGGATCTATTTTCATAATCATTAGTATTCCAGAAGTGAAGCAAAAATTTTAAAATATAAGAGTGTACTTAAAAATTTGAAAATATCAGCTTGATCTTCCTAAAACAAGGGACTCTAGATAGGCTGACTAGATTCAGTGGATGGACTAGCACAGGGGAATGGCTGGGGGCACTAATAACACAGTGGGCAGTAACAGGGATGACAGAGTATATGTGCTCCAGTGGGCGGAGGGAGACTATGGGAGGGTGCCATTTGGGATGGGGGTATAAAGATGATTAGGATTGTTTGGGATGTTCTTTATGAAATACAAAAAGAAAAATCAATAAAAATACGTAAAAAAATTGAAAATATCAAAATGTTCTACTTATTTTTTTATTTTTAGGTTGTAGATATTTTCGGTATATTTTAAAACAAGATCATCAAATCTTAAAGAAGAAAATTAAAAGGATGAAGAAATCAGTGAAGAAATACAGTATTGTAAATCCAGGGGTTTGATGCTACATATTAAGTTATTTCACAGTGGTAGCTACCATGTAGTGGCTGAGTAGTTATTGAATGTATTTATTTGATATTTTAAGAAGATTGTTTATTCAGTTATTTTTGTATTTGTGTGTGTATGTGTATATGTGTGTGTGTGTGCCTGTGTCTGCATGTTTGTGGACGCAATTGTGTCCATATGCATGTGGAGGCTAAGAGATTAATCAGCCTTAAATGCTGTTCCTCAGGAGACGCTGCTTTGTTGTTTTGTTTTTGTTTTTGTTTTTTTGAGACAGAGTCTTCCTGTAGCTCTAGCTGGCCTGGAACTTGCTGTGTAAACCAGGCTGGCCTTGAACTCACAGAAATCTGCCTGCCTCTGCCTCCCAAGTGCTAGGATTACAGGCGTGCACCACCATGCCAGCTATACTGGGACCTGGAACTTGCCTATTAGTATAGGCTGGCTGATTAGTGAGCCCCAGGGACTCCTGTCTCTGCCTCCTCAATTCTGGGATCACAAATGTGTGCCACCATTCCTGGCCTTTCTATTTTAATTGAAAGAGTGTATGTATATATATATATATGTATGTATGTGTGATATGTGGTATTAGATGTATCATATATAGATGTATCGTATATATTTATTTGCATGTGGACATGCGCGTGTATGGTGATGTACATGTGGAGTGAGAGGACAGCTGCAGGACTCAGTTCTCTCCTTCAACCATGTGGATCCTGGGGAACCAGCTCAGGTCATGGGACTTGGTGCAAGTGCATTTACCCACTGAACCATCTTGCCAGCCCCGTGCCAGCTTTTTAAAGTGGGTGCTGGGAATTGAACTCAGATCCTCGTGCTATCTTCCCAGTGAGCTATCCTCCTAGCCCCTTATTTTTGTATTTCTTTTACTCTCAGTTATATCTAAACGAGTAACCTCATTGCCTTTGCTCATTTTAAATGTGTACACCTATATTTTCCTTTGAGCATTACATAGAACATTTTTAAAGGAAAGATTCTTTTTTTTTTGTCTTTTTGAGACAGGGTCTCCCTGTAGTCCCAGCTCACTTGAACTCACTATGTAGACCAGGCTGGCCTTGAACTCACAAAGATCCACCTGCCTCTGCCTCCGCCTCCCAAGTTCTGGGATTTTTGGAAAGATTCTTTAAACAGAGGAAAAAAGTTTGTTTAATGGAAGAATACAGCTCTGTAATGGTTATTCTTTATTAATAACTTGCCTCTGACTGATTTGTAATAAAATACAACTTGTGGTGCCACATAGCGAGCGTGTATTCTTTTAGATTCTAATTGATACATGTCACATTTACCACCTTGAAGGTAAGTATTAGTGAAAAGTTCTGTTGAGGAATCGTAGAGAGAAATTCAGACTTAGACCTTTCTTTCTCTGTTGGTATTAAGACAGCAGGTGGGGCTGTGTGACCTCCATAGAGGAACCTCTGATCCTGGAGAACTGATAGGGTCAGAGTGGTAGAGGGATTGTGGCCCGAGCTTAAAAGGGCATGGTGATCTAGGGCATGCCTTAGAACTCAGATGCCCCCTCTCATTTTTTCTCTTGGAAATCAGAACAATAGTCAACTCTCTGCCAGTGAAATAATGTCCCTGGCACACAGGAAGTCCTGTGGGACAGCTTGACCCAAAGCCAGTGACACTTTCAGGAACCCGAGCTGCTCTGTAGTGAGCCATACTGGTAGCGTAAGCCCTTCTTCAGAGTGCTCCTCCTCCTACGCATTCACTGCTCAGGTGACTAGCAAGTGACCCTCGAAGTGACCAACTTGAAGTAAGCCAGGTGTTCAGGTGCAAACCACACATTTCCCATTGGCTTATATTCCTACCAGTTTTAAATCATGTGCAGTTAACTTGGAGGACAGGGTATGCTTTGTCAATAATTTATATCTCCATACTATTTTATACTTAGGGGAAAAGAAATCTATCTATGAATAGGTAACTTTATAATGTACACATGAAACAAGTCAGTGTTTCCTTAAATACACCAAGTTGAAGTTACAACATCAACAGGACTAGCTTTCCTGCTGAGAGTGACTGGTTGGATTGAATAGGAGTTCTGTGTAACAGCAACACCATAGGAGTAAAATTCCCAGACAACCTCAGAATGTAGGCCAAGATTACAGGGCATCCACTCCCTGAAACAGTTAAAGGTTGTAAAACAGGGTTTATGAGTTCTGGATGTCTTGGTACAGTCCTTGGTTTCTACACAAAGCTTGACTTCCCTAGAACTTTTGTTTGATTTTTTTTTTTTTTGAAACAAGGTCTGGTTATGTTGCTGTGGTTGACCTTAAAACTCAGTGTCACTGGACATGGTGGCGCACGCCTTTAATCCCAGCACTCTGGGAGGTAGAGACATAGGGATCTCTATGAGTTCAAGGCCAATCTGGTCTACATAGTGAGTTCCAGGCCAGCAAAAAAAAACCCTCACTGCCTTCCTGCCTCAGCTGTGCCACCATGTCTGGCTTAACCTTCCTAGAATTTTCATATCAGATGTTCAGTAAGAGCAGTGTAATTTTTAAGGCCTGTTGAAATTATTTTCGGTCTGCTGAGGTTAAAGCCAGGTCCATGAATAGTGTCAGTGGCCAGGATCCATCAAGCGCTTTGTACATAGGTTTCATCATGTCACCACCACAATTCTGTGAGTTATCGCTGGCCTGTCAAATAGTGAGCAGGCCCTTGGTGATGAAGTAACTTGCCAAGGTCACAGCTATAGGTGTTGGCACCGGGACCCTAACCACATCATAATGGTTATTAAGGTCACATGCAAAGATCCTGCCAACATTGCCTCCCAGCCAGTCAGATTCCTCCACGTGAGATGCACTTGGCTAGGTAGCCAGGATGAGAAGAGAGAGGATTCACAGTCAAGAGGCCATTGGCTCAAGCAAAGTCGGTCTACCCTCTCTCTCCCAGGCTTTCATAAGCTCCCATCTGTATCCCTAGGGGTCTCCATACTGCCTCTATCTGCACATCCCAGTATTATCTTTAGCTCTTGCCTTTCTCAGTAGTATGTTACCTAGGTGTAAGTGACTTCATATTACATTCATTATCATTGAGATGAACTGAATGAAAGTGTGAGTACCCCACATAGAAAATGGTATCTTAGCAAGTTTATGCCAAGCATACGGCCTTGGGAGACTTGGATCAGAATCCTGGGGTTTTCATTTGGTAATTCTGTGACTTTTTTTTTTTTTAATATTTTATTATTTTTATTTTATGTGTATTGCCTGCAGGTATGTAAGTGCACCAGTGTTGTGCAGTGCCTTGGGAAGTCAGAAGAGGGCATCAGATCCCCTCTGGAGTTACAGAGAGTTGCTAGCCACCATGTGGGTGCTGGGAACTGAATTTGGGTCTTCTGCAAAAGCAGCCAGTGCTCTTAACCACGGAGCCAACTCTCCAGTCCCCGTTCTGTGACTTCTTGGGCAAGTTACTAAGTGTTCTTTTTACTCTCACTGGCTTGCTGTGGAGAATCAAAGCAGTACTATGCCAAGGATAATAGTTAATGATGAGTTAAATCTCTTTTGCTTTTTCCTCAAACCCCTGAAACCTGTATTTGAGATGTACAGCTTTGTCTTTTGATGTATGTATGTATATTTGAGGTGTATAGCTTGATGTCTTGATATATGTACACATTGTAAAATGATCACTACCGTTGAGGAAATTAATGCTACCTATATGTAGTTACTGTATTAGGGTTTTCTGGGGGAACAGGACTGATAGAATGAATCTAATTTACAGAGTCATTAATTAGATTGGCTAACACAACACAGTAGCCCAACAGTGGTTGTCTGTACACTGGAGAAGCTGAGAATCCTCTGGCAGCTACTAAGTCCGTAAAGCTTGTCTACCTCAGCGGTCTCAATCTGGTACGGAAGGCCTGGAGGATCCCTGGAGAGCCTCAGGTCTTCAGTCCGCCTCAAATGCCAAAGAAGCTGGGTCCCAGCATCAGAGGATGGCAGTGGCGGCAGCAGTGGCAGTGGGCTGAACATACCCACCACAAGGGGTGAATGTGGCCGGCGAAGGAGGCTGGCAAAAGGCAGCAGCTTTTCCCTCTGACCTTGTGGTATCTGGGCTACTACAGAAAGGTGGTACCCATTCTGGGGGAGCATTCCTCCCAGAACTCATCTTTCCAGAAAATACTTTCACAGATCTGCTCAGAGACAGGTCTCAGTTGATTACAGATCCAATCAAGTTGACAACCAAGATTGATCATCAGTGTTATTAGCATGTTGAGTACACATGGTAAGGAGACTTCATATCTCTCTTAGCAAACCATAAGTGTGCAGTACAGCATTGAATTGTTATCACTGTGGTGTTCATTAGACCCTCCAGAAGTTACTTCTCTTGCATCACTGGAATGTGGTACCATTTGGCTGACACCATTTCACTTTCTCTTTCCCAAGCCCTTGACAATGACCAGTCTATTCTCTGTTTGTGTGGATTTAAATGTTTTAGAGTCTATATAGGAAGAAGATCATGCAGTATTTCTTTTGGCTTCATGCTTGTTTTGTTAGTATTGTGTCCTTGTTTTGAAATTATGTTTATGTCTGTGTATCTGGGGTTTGTTCATGTGACTGCACTGCCCATAGGGACCAAAAGAAGCTGTCCCCTGGGGTTTCAGGCAGTTGTGAGCTACCTGATATGGGTGCTGGTAACCAGACTCTGGTCCTCTGCAAAACAGTACGTTCTCTTAACTGCTGAGCTATCTCCAGAATTACCTTTTTTTTTTGTGATTGAATAACACACATATATCTCTGTTTTTCTTTATCCACTTACCTATTAAAGGACATTGGGCTGTTTTTCTGTCTTGGTGGTTGTGAGTACTGCTGTGGTGCATATAGGAGTGTGGATGTCTGTAATCCTGACTCCAAAGCCTTGTGGGTATATACCCAGATATATTTTTAAGTTTTTAAAAAGATTTTAATGTTATGTGTATGATTTTGGTGCATGTATAGAAATGCACCATGTGTGTGCAGTGCTTGCAGAGACCAGAAGTGGGTATCAGAGCCCCTAGAACTGAAGTTACAGATGGTTGTGAACTGTCATGTGAGTGCGGAGACCTGAACTTGGGTCCTCTACAAGAGCAGCAAGTGTTCTTCCCTGCTGAGCTTCTCTTCCTCTACTTTTAGTTTTTGAAGAGCCTCCACGCTGTTTCTAATAATGAGTATGCTGGGCTTGGTCTGTCTCTGTGGGAGAACACTTGCCTAGCATGTGTGAGCTCTGGTTTCAAGTACTAGCCCCTTAGTAATAATAATAATAGACCTATCTACAGTCCCATCAGTAGTGTCCAAGGTTCCTTTCTTCCATACTTCCAACCCTATTTTTTTCTTGGACTTTTTGAGACAGGGTTTCCCTGTAGACTCAGCTGGTCTGGAACTCACTATGTAGACCAGGCTGGCCTTGAACTCAGAGTGCTGGGATTAAAGGTGTGCGCCACCACATCTGACTTCCTACTTCCAGCACCTTTTACAGTCACCTAACAGGTATCGAGGTGGCACTACCTTGTAGTCTTGATTTCCTTTTCTCTGAAGACAGGAGATGTTGACCGCCTTTTTATATACCCGTTAGTCATTTGAATTTCCTCCTTTGAGAAGTATCTGTTTCGGCCTTTTGCTCATCTGTAAAATCAAGTTATTTGCATTTTGGTATTAAATTACCTCATATACTTTGGATATTTCTTATTAAGTAACTATATATGACTCCTCCCCAAAACCACTCCAGAGTACCATAGAGTCAGAAAGACCTGGATTCAAATCCTGGCACGTATGAACAATAGTGGGGTTGTAACGGGGGTGATGTGAGTGCGGCAGCTGTTGAGTTGGTAGCATGGGGCCTGGTGTAAGGTTTTTCTCAATGAAGGGTAATATTGTAGAATATTAACATTTTACAATGCAACTAAAATGAAAATTAATAACCCATACTGTGTTTATTAATAAAGGGGTGTGCACTGGTAGAATCATTTAACCATATTTACAGCAATGGGCTTTTTCTGCTAAATTTACTTAGAATATATCTTCCAGAAGGGCACAAACAATATTCTTGATGAATATCATCTAAAAATTAAATAATTAACGTCTTTTGAATAAATTAATTTTAAAAAATGAATATAGTTTGAGACCACTGTCCCTTCCGTCCAAGACTTGTGCCTTCAGAAGAAATAAGTGTCTGCAGTTACCCTACAACATGAAGCATGTCATCCTTAGAATGAAGGTGGCTTTGAACTCAGTGGACAGTTTCCATCCCATCAGTCCCATGGTGACATCATGCCACTCCACCTGTATTTACAGCTGCTGTCCTGCCTCTACCCTGAGTTCGCAGATAATCTTTCAGTGTGAGTTTTCAGTCAGCCGGCCTTCAGTAGCTAGCTGCAGTGGACATCCGTTTTTATACAGAAATAATGAAAATTGGTTGCTGAATTTCCTTCTTTGCTTGATAAGTCATGATGGAATGAAGGCCCCACTCTAATTCAAAACGCTGGATTTTATTCCCATGTTTCCATTGACCTGTAGTGGGATTCTTATGAAGTTAACTGAACCTCTGAGACACCGCTGGCTTGTCCGTGTGCTGGTAATGGAATGCCCACCTTGCCTACCTCCCAGAATTATTTTGAAGATGGGGTGAGATGAAATGTGAGAAGCCACTCTATAAACTGTGTGTAGTACGACGTAGAGAACTTTAGCGGAGAACATAGTTTGAAGGCAGACTACAGAAAGGTCAAAAATTACATGAGCTATTGAGCTAGAACATTCCTTTTAAACTTCCCTCTGTTCTAAGACCTGATAAACAACAGGCTTTCAGCCTCTCAACATCACTTTAAGAAAAAAAACCATTATTTTATGTGCATGAGTGTTTTGTCTGCATATGTATCAGTGCACCACATGCATGCCTGGTGCTGGTAGACGCCAGAAGAGGGTATTGAGTCACTGGAATTGGAGTTAGAGCTGATTGTGAACCACCATGTGATTTCTAGGAATCGAACCCAGGTCCTCTGCAAGAGCAGCCAGTGCTCTTAACCACTGAGCCATCTCTCCAGCCCCAGCATCACTTTTTAAAAAAATATTTTATTTTTATTTTGTGTATGAGTATATTGCCTACACCTATGTGAGTGCAGCCGTGTTGTGCAATGCCACGGAGGTCAGAAGAGGGCTTCGGGTTCCCCTGGAACTGGAGTTAAGGACGGTTCATAGGTGCTATGTAGGTGCTGGGAATTGAATCTGTGTCCTCTGCAAGAGCAGTCAGTGCTCTTAACCACTGAGCCATCTCTCCAGCCCCAGCATCACTTTTTAAAAGGCACAGCTTGGCATGGTGACTCACGCCTGTGACACCAGCACTTGGGAGGCTGATGAAGGAGGATTACCACGAGTTTGAGGTGAGCCTGGGCTACATAGTTCTGGGTCAGCTTTGGCTACACAGAAAGACCCTGTCTCAAAACACTATTAATTACCTTATGAATATTCTCATTCTCCCTCCCTCTCCTTCCTTCTTCTCCTCCCTCCTCCCTTTCCCCCCTCCTCTTTCTCCCTTTGTCCCTCCCCTCCCTTCCTCCTACTTTCTCCATCTCCATCTCTGTAACTCTGTGTGCAGCTGCTAGAGGTTGAATTTTGTCATCCTAAAGAGTTGTTGAAGTTCTAACTCTCAGAGGTGCCTTAGGATGTGACCTCAGACCAGAACCTTATTTAGACAAAGTTTTACAATAATAAAATGAAGTCATTGTGGTAGGCCCTAATCCAGTGTGACAGGTCTTCTCATAAAGAGGAATAAATTAGACACAGACATGCACAGAGGAAAAGAGTCATCAGAACTGAGAGACAATACATCTGCCATTGAAAACCTTCCAGTCTGTGTGCTTTGTTACAGCAGCTCTGGCAAGCTAAAATGGTAATTAAAAAATACATGGGCTTCAAACATGGGAGCCAAAGTACCTTCAAAGCTCAGTCTGGTTCTAGTTTGAAGTTCCTAAGCCTGCCTAACACTCAAAACTTGTTTTCTGTTCCTTTTCCACATGTACCCTGTCTAAATCCCCTCCACCCTTTAAGATTTCCTTATGTCACCCTCCTTCCTTGGAGCCCTTAGTGGCAGCTTGTTCCTCTCTGTTATCTTTTAGTTTTTATTTATTTAATTTATGTGTATGAGTGTTATGCCTGCATGTGTGTAAGTGCACCCATGTCATGCAGTGCCTGCAGAGGACAGAAGAGGGAGTCAGATCCCCTGGAACTGGAGTTACAGATGGTTGTTAGCTGCCACATGGGTGCTAGGATTCAAACCTGGGTGTTCTGCAAGAGCAGCCAGTGCTCTTAACTGCTGAGCCATCTCTCCAGCCCCATTCTATTTTCTTAATACAATCTGCCTTCCATTATTTGGACACCAGTCTCCTCCCTCCATCCTCCTCTAAAGTCCAGGTTGGCCTCAAACTGGTGATCCTCCTGCCTCCCTTGCTTGGGTAGCAGCTGTCTGTCACCACACTTGGCTTATCCTTTCTTCTCAGAGCACAAACTTGAAAATACCAGTTTTTGATTAAATGTTCCTTTTCTAGCATAATACTGTGCACACAGTTAATACTGAATTGACACTGAGAATCCATTATGAAATTATTGCATAATTATTATACAATCCCAGACATTATGTAATTACATCTGAATGTTAGGTAGTCCCATCTGAAAGGGACATTGTAATCTAATAAACTCATGTTGTCCAAGTGTCCCATAAGCTTTCCCTGCTAATCTTGTAAACATTTGCCCCAGACTGGAAAATCTCATGTTTTTGTGGCAAAAGGGAAAAGCAAGACATAAATGCTAATAAAAGGTCAAGAAATGGTCTGCAGTGCTGTATAGAGTGGGAGATGCAGTCTTAAACACTCAGGCTCAGATGCCTGGCTCCGGTTTCCGAGGAGGCTGCTGAGAAAGCTGCGGTAGCTGTGAATTCACTGGCTGAAGTTAAGCCAAGTGTTACCCCTCCCACCGCAGGTTCCAGAGCAATGACATGCCCTGACCTTTGAGTAAACAACCCAGTGGAAACTGCACAGTCACCAGTGAATCACAGACACCATCTTAGGCTTTTGAAAGAAGGTTGGGATGCGGCTCAACGATGGAGCTCTTGCCTAGCATCAGTGAGATGCTAAGTTTCAGCCTCAGCTCTGTAAACAGGTAAAAACACTCCTCAAGGTGTGATGCTGGACAAAGGAGACAGCAGGGCTCTGTTGGTAATCATTCTTACTACCCTTTGCTGACCTTTCCTTGGTTACACAGTTTTTGTATCTTTAATACTGTTGGGGCTTTTACAGTCCAGACCATTTTGAGTACAGACTTGGTCAATAGATTGAGGTTCATGTCCTATCTTAATGACACCCTGGTAATGACTGCTCCTGTGGTCAGAGGGAGCTACTAGGAGTGCCCCATAGAATCTCAGCAGGGCCAGGAAGAATTTCATCTGCATTTTAAAATTTTAAAAATTTAAAATTCTCCTTTAGGAAGGCTTCTGGCAGTTCCAGGTGGGCTGAAATCACAGAAAATGCTGAACACTGCCTCAGCTCAGGAACCCAGTGTCCCCATGGGCCTGTGTGTGCACCTGCTCAGACTGGGACTGTGAGTTTGGGCTCCGTATTCTTCATTCACTGAAAAACTGGTTATCAAAGGCCTCCTAGGCATGATGGCACATGCCTTTAATCCCAGCACTCAGGCAGAAGCAGGTGGATCTCTGAGTTCAAGGTCAGCTTGGTCTACATAGCAAGTTCCAGGTCAGACCTGTATAAAGCAAAACAATCTTGAATACTGATGTTGGGACATATACTGCAGAAGAGTACTTCTAAAGCAGCTGTGGGGCTGGTCAGGTGGCTCGGCAGGGAAAGGTGCCTTCTGCCAAGACTGATGACCTGAGTTCCAGCCCTGGGACTCACCAATGGAAGGAGAGAACCACTTCCTGAAAGTTGACTCCTGACCTCCACATGTATGTGCCATGGTACACTCACAACCCCACACTAAATAAGCATTAAAAAAAGTTAAAGTAGCTATAGATTTGACAAAAATGAACCCAGATATACTGTGTTTTCTGGTAAAGTGGTCCCCAACAGTCCTGTTGACTCCTTGTGTTCACTGGGCCACGCTCACTGGATCTGTCCTCGAAAAATTTATGTGTTGAAACTTGTCAGTTTGTTAGTATTAAGAGCCAGGACTTTGATGTGTTACTGTAAAAATGTCTAGGATAATCAGGGGGCAGGTTTATTTTGGCCATAGTTTTAGAGATTTTGGTTTGTGGTCTGGCAGATTCATTGCTTTTTGGACAGCTTTTTGTGGAGAGTATGGTGGGGTAAAGCTGCTTACCTCATGGCATCTGGGAAGCAGAAAGGAGTGAGGTGGAGTCCCAACTATTGCCTGTAAGGACACACTCCAGCAACTGACTTCCTTCTGTTAGGCTCTGACTCTCAAGGTTCCAGCACATTCCAGTGGTGCTGAGGGCTGGGGACCAAGTATTTAATGCATGTGCTGAGGTACAGGTTACAGGTAGGGTGTGCTCAGCATGTGTGAGACCCTAGGTTCAGTCTCCATGCGCTGACCCCCCACACCTGTCAGGGGGTGATTAAGGTGCCTGAAAAGGGCTTGAGAGAGTGGGTTTGTTCTGTCCCTTCTGCCCTGTGAGGACAGCAACAGAATGCCATTAGTGAAGAATGGGTTCCTCACCAGACACTGAGCTGGCTCCCTGGTCCTGAATTTCCCAGTCCCTAAATTGTAAGAGAAATTTTTTATTATTTATAAGCTAACCAGCCTGTGGTATTTTTTTAATATGGTTTTTAAATGGGGCCTCATGTAATCCAGACTGGCCTTGAACTTGCTTTGTAGCTGAAGACAACTAAACTTTTGATCCTCCTGCCTCTATTGGGTGTTGGGATTACAGTTGTGCATCAACACTCCAGGTTGAGTCAACTGAGCCACATCCCGTCTGTGATACTTGTTACAGCATCATGGACTGACCAAGACACTTCTTCCTCTTCCTTACTGCTGTCCTTGTTCTGGATGCAAGATTCATGACATACCCATCCAGACCATCCAAGCACACACCAGACAGCGACCCTGCCATGTACCCCCAAGTCTTCCCAGATTCCCACCAGCTCCCCACAGTGCCTTCTGCACTGCAGGAGCCTGGATGCTTGCCTTGCAGAGTTGGCTTTCTGGGACTCTGTAATGTGGTGTGCTGCTCAGCCTGCAAAGAAATAGTAAACAAGTGGGAATTTCCTGGCCTGCCCCCAGCATGGCGCGAATTCTGTGCAGTTTGGGGAATCATAACACCTCTGCCATTTGGTGCCATTGCACCTTTTGGCTAAGTACCCAGGGGCCCCAACCACTTGGCACTGCTACTGAGACTTGTGCTAGCTTCCCATTTAGATGGGACGGAGGGGTAGGGATACTTCCCCCTGCTTTTACCAAGGACACTTAGTCACCAGTCCAGAGAAAGGACGCCACCGAGTAACCACCTCAGTAACTTGGAATGGGATGTGGAAGAGAGAAGGAAGGAAGTGAAGTTGGGAGGAGAGAGGGAGGGAACTTGGGCAGACTCGGGAGGCCAAAATGCCCAGAAAGCCTACTTCCAGGCCGCCCGCGGCGTCCAGGCTCTGGGCCCTCTGGTTCTCTCCTGGCATTTTCTACCTGTGCCTCACATTCTTGTTGGGCCAAGTGGGCTTGCTTCAGGGACACCCCCAGTGCCTGGATTATGGGCCACCTTTCCGGCCTTCTCTACACCTGAGTTTTTGCTCTGACTATGAATCCTTCGGCTGCTGCAATCACCGCAAGGACCAGCGCATCGCTGCCCGGTACTGGGACATCATGAACTACTTTGACCAGAAGGGCCATGAGCTGTGTGGAGGTTACATTAAAGACATCCTTTGCCAGGTAAGTCTGAGTGTAATCCAGTGGGGAGGAGAGGAAGCCAGCTAAGAAAAGTGCCTTCTGATCTCGGTGCTGGGCTGCTGCTTTGGACACAGCCTTTCAGAAACTCACCTACTCGGTGCCTCACCAGAGAGCTGAGGGTGAGGGTGTCCCCACTTGAGGCAGCAGAACGAGAGAGGTATTCATGGAGCTCTTGGAGCAGCTGCTGTGTCCTCCCTGAAGGGACCACAGGGCTAGCACAGCACGTCTGTAGCATTTTATGGTCCGTGCATGGGAAGAAGGGTGGCACCTGCCAGGTTGGGTGATTTGGGAAGGGGGCTTCTGGGGCGACAGTGGTGGTGGCGGTGGCAGGAACTGGGGTCCTCTCCGTGAAGAACTCCAGAGCCTGACTGAGAGAGCCTCAAACCACTGAGAGGCCATGACTCAGACTTTCTGCCTGTTCAGGCTTACCAACAGCCAAAATCCACATGCAGGAGGCATCACTGTAGCAGAGCGGAGCCTGAAAACATGGGCAGGCATTGAGCTCTTGGGAAGAGGGTGTGGGGATGCAGGAGAGACCCATGAGATGCTGCCCTGGGAAACAGAACTGTAATGATGTGAAGTCCAGGCTGACCTTTGACCTGACACCCTCTGGAGTATGTTGGTGTCATCATGTGGCTGCCTCAGGGCATCTTTATCACGGTTCCAGAGTGTGCTGGCCACCCCAGCTCCCTGCCTGTAGCACAAGTGAGAGTGACAGTGCAATCTGGCTCAGAGGACAGCCACTTGGGGTACTGCCCTGGGGCTGTGCTCTTATGCTGGGGCACCATTACTCATCTGTTTCCTGGAGATTTAACTCTAGGATGACCTCATGGGGCAGAAGCTGGGCTGTGTGTGTGTGTGTGTGTGTGTGTGTGTGTGTGTGGTGTGTAGGGCAGAGGTCCACATCTTCCTCTAATACCCTCTACCTTTTTTTGAGAGGGTCTCTTACTAAGCCTGGAGCTCACTGATTCAGCTAGGGTGGCTGGCCAGTGAGCTCCAGGAATCCTCCTGTCTCTGCCCCCAGCACTGGAGGTTACAGATGTAAGCTCATGTACCTAACTTTTATGAGAGAGTCGGGCCTCAAACACAGATCCTCATGCTTGCCTGCCAAACGCTTTAGAGCTATTTCTTCATCCCCAGAAGTTGGGCTTTTACAAGCAGCATGGAAAGTGTATTTATGATATCTCCTCTTCTGCAAATGTGTTCCTCTTCCCCTTCTCTCTTGGGCAAGGTTTCAGAAGGCCACATTCAGCTACTCTCTCATTCCAAGGAGGTGAGGAATAGTATCAGCCAAATCTTACTTGTGTCTTTCTATTAAAATTTTCAAGGCTGTCTTTCCCACCCCATGTGGTTTGTTCCCAGAAGTAATTCAGCAGGCCATTATTATGACCCTCATCCTCCAAGGTCAAACAGTTATAGGGAACAAATCCAGAAGCTCAGGTCTTAGGGCCTCGTGATCACATCACACCAGAATAACAACCACACTGACCCATTTCTGTGATGGTTTTCTGAGTTCTGGGATGTGTCAGCTCCTTTGGAGACTGTGCACTTTGGCCACTGTTGCTTGCTGGGGCAGCACAGGGCCTCACTGAGAGATGGAGTAGTGTAGTCACATAATGGAGATATTTTGGGCCCAAGTTTTCTTATCCTTGGAGAAACACTGGTTTAGTTCCTGAGCTGAGTCAAAACAACTATGCAGAATCTAAATGGCCACATAAGAGTGTTTCAGGGAGATGATGTATTTCCATCAGCACCTTCTGTTCCCACGTATTTCATTTTTATTCCTTAATTCTGTCCCCAACTCCCCTTTCTTTCCACTCTCCAGGAGTGGATGCACAGACTGACACTCAAGAGCGGACCATTTTGTTTTGTGTTAGTTCCTCAGCTAAACCTGACTGATCAATGGAGAGATGCTGTTTGTCTCTGGGCTCCTTCTTTCCTTCTGCCTAGTAACCAAGGGCTTGCTTGGTGTCCAATCAAGGGAAGTAAGAAGAGGGGCCTCTAATATACGTGAAAAGTGCTGCTGGTTCCTTTGTGAAGAGATGAGTTCACACAGGCCGCTGGCTGGGGAGAGCTGTTAGTGATCAGAGGCTCTTAGGCTGCCAGACTTTATTCTACTGTCCCAAATGCTGCCCTTTAAAACTGCCATTCCATAGCTCCGTCACCTCTGTCATCATGGCTGGGAACTGGTTGTCTGCCCACACAATTCTGTTCTCTCCTAAAAGTTGCTATAAGCTAGGAAGGTCCAAGTGGTAGATTGTCCTGTGGGCATTGAATCATTATATACTTGTATGTAGAAAGTCTCTTTGCTGAAAAGCCACAATTGAAATAGATATAGCTCCCAGCATGGTGCACGTATTGAACACAAATTGTTTTGCTACACATGAAGAAATTGCTAGGCACCTTAATCTCTGAGAGTGATACATCAAATGGCCATTTGGATCACTGAAGTTTGGATTGTTAAATATTTTAAACATGAAGCTTATAGAAAATGGCATACCAACAATAGGTGACACACACGAAACTTTCTGTCATGGTTTTGCCCATGACAAAAAGAAAGATTCAGAAATTTGATACCATCGTTTTAAACAATTTTTAAAATTTTATTATTGTTTTTAAAATTTATTTTCTATGAGTATTTTGCCTGCATGTATGCAGATGTACCACATGCATGCAAACCCAAGGAGGCCAGAGAGGAGGGCCTTGGATCCTCTGGAACTGGAGTTATGTGTAGTTTTTAGGATGGGTGGGTGCTGGAAACTGAACCTGGGTGTTCTGCAAGAGCAGCCAGTGCTCTTAACCAATGAGCCATTTCTCCAGACCCCATTTTACTATTTTTAAATTATGTGCATATGTTTCTATGCATATGAGTGCAGTGCTGGAGTTACAGGCTGCTGTGAGTTGCCCGACTTTGGTGCTGGGAATTGAACTCAGATCCTCTGGAAGAGCAGTACCCGCACTAACCACTGAGCAATCTCTCCAGCCTGATATAATCTTCTTTAAAATATTGATTCATCATTTAATATAATCTTGTGTCAATAGCTAAGCTATTGGCAGCTATGGTTACCTGCACAAGATCTAACACCCTGTCACGTGGGAGCAACTCCTGCCTTTTCCCTCCTGAGATTTCTATCTAGTTAAAGGTAGTCAAGGGAGAGACACACACAGCATGAAAGTGAAAATGTGTGTGTGGGGCTAGTTGGGAAGAAGAAGGGGATCAGTGGGAATGGGAGGGAATGGAGAGTGATGCGGGACGAATGTGATAGAAACAGGTTATTATGGTTATTATGGCATGAGAATGTCCTAATGAAACCCATTATTACATATAATTAACATATGCTAATGAAAACAGTTTTTAAAAGACTGGGCTATTGAAATGCTAGATGTAGTATTGTGAGTATGAGAGGATTTTCCTCCAGGAGCATTAACTGGGTATGAAATTTGGGTCATAGAGAAATGATAACAATAATTGGTACATAGACCCCGAGAATGCTGATTCCCACCCCCCCACACCATGTGTCCGCTTTTGTTTGTTCAAATTAAGACTGAGTTTTCCTTTCCTTTTTCAGGAGTGCTCGCCCTATGCAGCCCACCTCTATGATGCTGAGAACCCTCAGACACCTCTCAGGAAACTTCCAGGGCTCTGCTCTGACTACTGCTCTGCCTTCCATTCCAATTGCCACTCTGCCATCTCCCTGCTAACCAATGACCGTGGCCTCCAGGAGAAAGATGGTGCTCGTTTCTGCCACCTCCTCAACCTTCCTGATGAGGACTACTGCTTTCCCAAAGTCCTGAGGAATGACCATCTCAACCGCAACCTGGGAGTGGTGGCTGAGGACCATCAGGGCTGCCTGCAGCTCTGCCTGACAGAGGTGGCCAACGGGCTGCGGAACCCCGTGTCCATGGTCCATGCTGGGGATGGCACCCATCGCTTCTTTGTTGCTGAGCAAGTAGGAGTGGTGTGGGTCTACCTCCCGGATGGGAGTCGTCTGGAGCAACCCTTCCTGGATCTCAAGAGCATGGTGCTGACCACACCATGGATTGGGGACGAGAGAGGCTTCTTAGGATTGGCTTTTCATCCCAAATTCCGCCGCAATCGCAAATTCTATATTTATTATTCATGCTTGGGCAAGAAGAAGGTGGAGAAGATCCGGATTAGTGAGATGAAGGTTTCTCTGGCTGATCCCAACAAAGCTGACCCCAAATCAGAGAGGTGAGACAGTCTCATGAGAATCTGAAATCTGCTTGCAATGATGCCCATCAGTTCTTGAGGTGCTAGAGAAGGAATGCGGCTGCCTTTAGAACTTTAGCCTAAGATGGTGAAGAATCACTGCTGATTAATGAGGACAGCCTGAGTAACTCTAAACTGAGGAGTCTTTCACTTTACCTACCCTAATTAGAACTGTACTTGCTTGTTTTCACAAAGTAGAAGCCAGGATTGGCAGCCAAGAGGGATTGAGAGTGATTGTGGATCACATCAATATATTAAGTAAGGTGATAGCCTCTAGTTATGCGACCATTAAATAACAGATCCTTTACCTTCAATGTGGGATTTTTCATCCTCATAGAAGCTATGGCAGAAGGCCATAAAGCTATTGATATATGGTCAGATGATGCTCTAGTTTCATTTCTGTTACTCCGACAAATACTTTAAACAAAACAACCTAGAGGAGGAAAAGGGCTTATTTTATTTGGCTTATACTTTTGGTCACAATCTATCATTGAGGGAAGTTAGGGTAGGAATTTAAGCAAGAGCTTGAAGGCAGACTTGCTTGCTATTTCATATCTCATTACCTCCAACCAAGGAACTCACTTCATAGCCAAGAGGTACAGCAGGAACCCTGGAGGATGGTCCTTGCTACCTTCCAGGTAGCATACCTGGCTCATACACCAGTTTATACCTTTCTTATATAACCTGGGACTGCCTGCCTAGGGATGGTACTGCCCATGGTGGGCAGTTAACAATCAAGGCAGTCCCCCACAGACATGACCACAGGCCAGTTTGATCCAGGTAATTCCTCAGTCGAGGTTACTTTTTCAGATGACTCCAGGCTATGTCAAGTTGACAATACAATCTCATCAGGGCAGTTGAAGCACCAGTTCTGGCTGACTCCAAGCTTGTGCACTGTCCACTTGATCACTCAGCTTTCTCCTCTTTTTTCTCCTTTCTGTCTTGGCTCTTTTCCTATCATAGACAGGCTGAAGGATTGGAAATAGCGTAACGACCTGATAGATTAGCCCCTGTAATTCACTCAAAGGAAGATGGGGAAATCTAATGGAGCACGGGAAAGGGAGGATTGTTAGCCTGGCTGCGTCTCAACTTGTAAAGTCATGATGGTTAAGAAGAGTGGTGATCTACAGAGGGTTGGGGATGTGGCTCTGTGGTAGGCTACTTGCCTAGCATGCACCAGCCTTAGGCCCAATGCCTGTACTGAAAAAAATTAAAAGATCCCCAAAGGAGTTATACCAGGAAACATGGAGCATCTGAGTCCCAAGCTTTGTGATCCTTAGAGACCGAGGCGGGGCTTGGAAGATCTTGGTGGCTTAGACTAGCCACTCCCGGATGTCTCAAGGGTATGCACCTTCACCTGTGCCTAATCATAGTTTTCTTTTCTCTTCCAGGGTCATCTTGGAGATAGATGAACCGGCCTCAAACCACAATGGTGGCCAACTTCTTTTTGGCCTGGATGGCTATCTGTACATATTCACTGGGGATGGAGGGCAGGCTGGGGATCCCTTCGGCAAGTTTGGAAATGCTCAGAACAAGTAAGTTGAATGGAGGCTGGGCCCTTGTCCCCTTGAGTGAGCCCCTGGTGTGGTGTTCTTTGTGAGGTAGAGTCAAACTCAGATCACTCCCTACAAGATCTAGTCCCCTCCACTGAAGAAACTGCGGGGGACATTTTGTTTTCTGTTCTATTAATAATGGACACAGAATACTTTGGTAGTTAATAGTACAGATGCTTAAAGTAACTTTCAGAGTGCTATGTAGCAGAGTTCAAAAGTTTAAATGTGTTAGCAGGACACTGTGACAGTGATCATCCAATTCAATTCAACTCAACAGGAGCATTGAATAGCGTCCCAGGCTCTGTGCTAGAGGCCCAGAGACACATGAGAAGTCAGTTAATGAGAGCTACTATATACTGAATGTCTAGTGTGTGTGTGTGTGTGTGTGTGTGTATGTGTGACTGCTTTAAAGATTCTATATGTATTTGAGAATATATGGCAAGCTTCAAGGGCAGAATCTTTTAAATCTGTTTAATCGGTATATTACCAGCACACTGTACACGTGTGGACTGAAGATTCCTATGAAATGTAGATATTATTATTTCCACTTTATAGAAAATAGGAAGAAGCACAGTGAGCAAGTGGAAGAATCAGAATTCCAACTCAGACACTGGTGCCAGAGCCCAGGTTGCCACCTGTGCTGCCTGTAAGGGTCACATGGCTCTTCTGCCCTTCACACAGGGAAAATCGTTGCTCTGTTATTCCTAGCAATAAAATATTAAGGTTAAGGACACTGAAATAATATTTGCCGAATGCTGTGATTCAGGGATTTCACTAAGTACTCTGTGCATAATAGCATATTAAACTGTAATGTCACAACCACACTGCAGCACAGTTTTACGTTCCTGCACTTTACAGGTTAGGAGATACGAGCCCAGTGGTCAAGGGTACTGGCAGTCTCTCAAAAGAGTCTGTTTTCAGCCGGGTGGTGCACGCCTTTAATCCCAGCACTACAGAGGCAGAGGCAGGCAGATCTCTGTGAGTCAAGGCAAGCCTGGGCTACATAGCAAGTTCCAGGCCAGCTAGGGCTACAGTAGGGAGACCCTGTCTCAAAATATCAAAAGCAAAAAAAAGAGTCTGTTCTTTCTACTGACCGCAATGCTGTCAGAGGAAGAATAAAACCATTATTTTAGCCGGGCGTGGTGGTGCACGCCTGTAGTCCCAGCACTTGGGAAGCAAAGGCAGGCAGATCTCTGTGAGTTCAAGGCCAGCCTGGTCTACATAGTGAGTTCCAGGACAGCTGGGGCCACAGGGAGACCCTGCTTCAAAAAAAAAGACCAAAAAACCCCCCATTATTTTAAAATTCATAATATTAAAGCTGGGTGTGGTAGTGTATGCCTTTAATCCCAGCACTCAGGAGGCAGAGGCAGGTGGATTTCTGAGATCGAGGTCAGCTGGGACTACAGGAAGACTCTCAAAACAAAAAAAAGTTCATAATATTAGACGAAATTGGAGAGCATCTGTCATTAAACTAAAAAATGAAAACTGCAACTTGTTTAGGGTCACATGGAGCAGGATCATGTCACAGTTTAGTAGATGTCCTTGAGACAGAAAAGGGGAATTCCTAACATCTTTCATATAGTTGAAAGATAAAAGCAAGTCACTTTCCCCATGCGGTTATGGCAGTCTGCTGGCACCCGCTCTCCTCTGGTGCTCTCCTCTGGTCCTGTGTTCTTGCTTACTTTGTTCTGGCTGACCTGCTTCTCTATCTTGATTTTTTTTTGTCTTTCAGAAGTTCTCTGTTGGGGAAAGTGCTAAGGATTGATGTGAACAGGGCAGGCTTGGATGGCCATCGATACCGAGTCCCCTCTGACAATCCCTTTGTTTCTGAGCCAGGGGCTCACCCTGCCATCTATGCCTATGGGGTTAGAAACATGTGGCGTTGTGCTGTGGACCGAGGGGACCCCATCACACGCCAGGGCCGAGGCCGGATGTTCTGTGGTGACGTGGGCCAGAACAGGTTTGAAGAAGTTGACCTCATTGTTAAAGGCGGGAACTATGGCTGGAGGGCAAAGGAAGGGTTTGAATGTTATGACGAAAAGCTTTGTCGTAATGCCTCTTTGGGTAAGTAAGAAGCTGTCTGGGTGATCTCTGAATGGGTTAACTGGGAGGGAGGTGGAGGTAGGGGAAGAAAACATAGTGTCCTGAAGGTTGTCTCTATGGTGCCTTGTTGATGGCCTGTGGGACACTGCTTCTCTGCTGCACCAGCCAGTCACAGCAGAGGCACCTGGGTGATGCTCATGAAGAGGCAGATCCCTAGGGGCTGGAGAGATGGCTCAGCTGTTAAAAGCACTGGTTGCTGTTGCAGAGGACCTGGATTCAGATCCCGCATCCACATGGCAGTATGGTGCACATGCAAATATATGTAGGCAAGTGCTTAGAGACATAAAATAAAAATAAATAAATCTTTAATAAAGGAAGAAGCTTCACCTGTTTCAAACTGCAGTGTTTATCACCATTGCTTAATCTTTTCTTTTTCTTGTTTGTTTAAAATATTTTATTTATTATTTTTATTTTATGTGTATGAGTATAATGCCCACCTGTTCGTAAGTGCACCCATGTCGTGCAATGTCTGCAGAGGTCAGAAGAGGGTGTCAGATTCCCTGGAACTCGAGTTGTGGGTGGTTGTTAGCTGCCATGTGAGTAATGGGGATTGAACCCGGCTCCTCTGCAAGAGCAGCCAGTGTTGTTTACTGCTGAGTTAGCTCTTCAGCTCCTGTTTGTTTTTTGAGACAGGGTTTTATGTAACCCAGGCTGGCTTGAACCTCACTGATCCTTTTGCCTTTACCTCTCCCAGAATACTTTGCATGTGGTAAAACCTGAGTATCTACCATGTCAACTCAGGGAAGAAACAGGTTCATGTGTCTCTAGGTTGCTGCCTCATAGGGCATGAGATTTTTGGTTTAGATAACAGTCAAATGAGAAGCTTGTGTATTGTGGCTGTTCTGTTGAGAAAAGTAAACATTTCAGTTGTCTCTTTCTGATAGTGAGGAGCCAAATTAGACAATTGCAGTAAGAAATCCCCCTTTTCTTCCTCAAAACTTCCCACTTGGGACTGTGATATTCATTATTTTTCCTCATTCCTGACAGACGACATTCTGCCCATCTATGCTTATGGCCATGCAGTGGGGAAGTCTGTCACTGGAGGGTACGTCTACCGTGGGTGTGAATCTCCCAATCTCAATGGCCTCTACATTTTTGGGGACTTCATGAGTGGGTAAGGAAGGATTGAGTCCTTATTTATTGATTGATGCCCACCTGTTCGTAAGTGCACCCATGTCGTGCAATGTCTGCAGAGGTCAGAAGAGGGTGTCAGATTCCCTGGAACTCGAGTTGTGGGTGGTTGTTAGCTGCCATGTGAGTAATGGGGATTGAACCCGGCTCCTCTGCAAGAGCAGCCAGTGTTGTTTACTGCTGAGTTAGCTCTTCAGCTCCTGTTTGTTTTTTGAGACAGGGTTTTATGTAACCCAGGCTGGCTTGAACCTCACTGATCCTTTTGCCTTTACCTCTCCCAGAATACTTTGCATGTGGTAAAACCTGAGTATCTACCATGTCAACTCAGGGAAGAAACAGGTTCATGTGTCTCTAGGTTGCTGCCTCATAGGGCATGAGATTTTTGGTTTAGATAACAGTCAAATGAGAAGCTTGTGTATTGTGGCTGTTCTGTTGAGAAAAGTAAACATTTCAGTTGTCTCTTTCTGATAGTGAGGAGCCAAATTAGACAATTGCAGTAAGAAATCCCCCTTTTCTTCCTCAAAACTTCCCACTTGGGACTGTGATATTCATTATTTTTCCTCATTCCTGACAGACGACATTCTGCCCATCTATGCTTATGGCCATGCAGTGGGGAAGTCTGTCACTGGAGGGTACGTCTACCGTGGGTGTGAATCTCCCAATCTCAATGGCCTCTACATTTTTGGGGACTTCATGAGTGGGTAAGGAAGGATTGAGTCCTTATTTATTGATTGTTTGTTAGGACAGGGCATTGCTATTCCTGGTAAGCCTGCACCTCACTGTATAGACCAGGCTGGCTTCAAACTCATGGTGACCCTCCTGCCTCAGCCATCTAATGCTGGGACTACAAGCTTCTACCTCCCAAGTACTGGGCCTACAAGTGTGCGTCACCACGCTCTGCTGAAACCCAGTCCTCATACTTGAGGATCCTTGCTCATAGGTGGAAAACTATCCTACAGAGGGGAACTCTGAATTCCTACAACATAAGGTTTTATTTTTCATCTAGTCGACTTATGGCTTTGCAGGAAGATAGAAAAACTAAGAAATGGAAGAAGCAAGACATCTGCCTTGGCAGCACATCCTCCTGTGCCTTCCCAGGGCTGATCAGCACCTACAGCAAGTTCATCATCTCTTTTGCTGAAGATGAAGCAGGTAACCAAGGCACTTCTGCTCACTCGAACTTAGATGACCACAGGTGTTGGCCAAACGTGGTTATCGTAATTATTATTTAAACAGTAACTGCCACTTCTCCTGTTATCACTATTGTTTATTCATGTTTCATCATGTACTGGGTAATTAGTAACCACAGTACCAGGTGATGTAATTGTTCTCAGTGCCAGGAGTGCGGAAACTGATTGTTGATTGACCCAAACATCCCCATTGTGGCTGAGGAACACCCCTTCTCGTGAGGGGAGCTTTAAGGTCTGCTCTCGTCTTTGACTTTAGAGAGGTTCATGTACTGCCTTTGCTGATTTTATTCTAAAATGTTTATAAGAGTGCAGACAGGGCCACCCGTGGGCTAGACTAAATGAGCAGCGAGTGCTTATCCTCTTGGGTTGTCTTGAAGGAGGTACTTCTTGATTATTGACTGGGCCCGAGTCTTTCCTGACTCTGCCAAGAGTGAGCAAGGGTGATCTGGATGTCAAACAAAATGGTGGGGTGTGGCAGCAAGGTAGATGGTTACTCAACAGAGGAGGCGAGGCACACACTAAGGGCACCATTGATCATTGAAGCCAGGTATTACTCATGTATGAGGGACAGGGGGAGTTCTAAACATATATAGCCAGAGAACTCATTTTAATTTTAGCTTTCCATTTCTTTTTTTTTTTTTAATATTTTATTAAAAAACAAACAAAAAACACAATTTAATCCCAGCATGTCAGATCTCTTCCTTGATTGTGCAAAAAATTTTTAGTTATTATTTTTATTTTATGTGGATAAGTATATTGCCTGCATGTAGGTGAGTGCACCAGTGTAGTGCAATGCTCGGAAGTCAGAAGAGGGCTTCAGATTCCCCTGGAACTGGAGTTAAGGACGGTTCGTAGACGCCATGTGGGTGCTGGGAGTCAAACCCAGGTCCTCTGCAAGAGCAGTCAGTGCTCTTAACCGCTGAACCATTTCCCCAGCCCCCTTGTTTTCTTTTCGATCTTTTTGAAACAGGGTCTCCCTGTAGCTCCAGCTGGCCTGGAACTTGCTATGTAGACCAGGCTGGCCTTGAACTCACAGAGATCCACCTACCTCTGCTGGGATCAAAGGCATGCGCTACCATGCCCGGCTCCATTTCATTTTAAAAGGTTAAAATTTTAAATAAGTTTGTTTTTTGTTTTCCCAAGTATGTACTGTGATCGCTTTAGTATTTGGTACTGCATCTGGCCATGCCTAGAGGCAAAAGGTAATAGGAGGATCTCTCAGGCTGGGGGCATAGCTCAGATGCTAGTGCATCTGCCTAGCATCATGAGGCCCTGGGTTAGATCCCCAGCACTGTATAAACTGGGAGTAGTGGTGCATATCTGAATCCTACTACTTAGGAGGTAGAGTCAGGAAGATCAGACGTTCAAGATCATCCTGGGCTACATGTCTAGTTTGAGGCCATCCTGGGCTACAACAGGCAAACAAGAACCCAAGTGAAAAAAACAAAACAAAACCCCAGGATCTCTCAATGTGCCTTCTAGAGCTAGGCCTAGGTGTGAAGCCAGAGATCCCTAAAGCTGTTTTTTTTTGTTCCTATTATGAGCCATGGGGTAGCTGCACACCACTTTAGCTTAAGTTGGTAATGAAGAAGTTCAGTCAGATTTTGGTCCTTTCACCTCAGTTAGCTAATGAATAGCTAATTAGAGATGAACATTTGATATGGCATTAGAGAATATTTTAGAAAATTCAAGAATTTTAAATAGAAAAAAATTTACGGGTTCCCAATTGAGAATCCAAACACATAAAAACGTAGAGAAACCACAGGCAGAGCCCTTCACCCCCAGACAGTGGACACCAGAGGCTGGTCTGTCTAGAGGTACTGGGCTGCCAATTGCTTGCTTCTTTTCAGAGGGCCACAGAACCCTGGCTGTGGAGGCTTGGTTTTCAGAGCCTAGAAGCTTCTGTCACAGGAGAAAACAGGCTTCTTTTGACCAGTCAGTACATTTGGCAAACAAAGCCCCTGGCTGAATTCTGTGAAGTGGACGTGCCAAGGTTCTTACCAGCCAGGCTTTGCCCCAGGCCAGCCCTGAGGCCAGAGAGGCTGCTCCCAGGCCAGTTTGTTGCTGTGCTTGCCTGTGTGCTGTTGCCTATGTGTGGTCGCAGAAACAGGCTCACATGTTTTCTGCTTTGCATATTCTTTCCCACTTAGAGACATTTTTAGATCAGAGCAGTGCTGTTTCGTACGTCAGTCACTAGCTTGCTTTCTGTTAGCTGTTTCTCAGTTGAGCCAGAACTCTGCCTCAGCTCTTACAGGTTACTCACTGAGCTCAATTAGACGTCACAGCAGGTGTAACCGAAGCTCTCCTGGGTGAATGCGGCTGCCCATGGGCTGAGTTTGGATGCCGACGCCATTCCCCAAGGCTAGCCTTGTAACATGCCTACGGGAAGTCCAACTGCCTGCATTTTGTTTCACATGACATATCATAGGTGTCTTTCTGCCTAACGTAGATACTAAGGGGCTGGTGAGATGGTTCAGTGGGTAAAGGTGCTGGCCCCCAAGACTGAGGACTTGAGTTTGATCCTAGGGAAAGATGGAAAAAAAGAACTGATTCCTGAAAGTTGTTCTCTGACCTCCACATCTATGCTGTGGCATACAACCCCCCCCCTCCACAACACACAAAATAAATAAGTAAAATGTAAAATAGATATTAAAGATGTTGGCTGGACCCTACACATAAAATTCACCTCTTGTGGGATTTTCCTCTAAGATGGCATGTTGGCATGTTGAAGGCATATACTTCACACAGGCTATAATCATATAAAAGGAACATGCAGTAAGATAGGTTCCCATTCTTCTTTGAGCCTCTGTATGATTTGAAGGGCCCCTGCCAGAGAACAACCTTTGTTTACTCACGCTATTGGAAGACAGCTTGTTTAATTGATGGTGGTTGATGGTGTTTGGGGTTTCCAATCAGACAAGGTAAGTTGAATCAAGAGTAGGATGTGTCCTGACTTTGGCTTCTTTTCCACAGAAGGAGTCTAGATACCTTTCATCAATATGCATAACCGTAGCATCTTCAGTGCCTGTCACCCTGGCTAACAGCCTCTGCAAAGCTCATGAGCCTCATATTCTGAGACATACACTGGTCACCATTCTTCACAACTCTGAGAATGAAAGTTGTTTAAATAGTCCCAAACTGTACAGAGTTCTAGAATTGTCATGTTTGAAACTTCATAATGATTGTCTTTCATAAAATTGACAAGTTTTGTAATCTGTACAAGAGCAAGTGAATTTGAGTGCAATCACAGTGGCACCCTGTGAGATTGATAAACTTCTGAAGGCACTACGGCAGTCCTTAAGGAACAGATATGAGAAAGTACTAGAGGGCTGGGAGTTGGCTTAGTGGGTCAAGTGCCTGCCATGCAAGCATGAGGACCTGAGTTCAGATCCCCAGCGTCCATGTAGAGCTGGGCTCAGCGCTGTGTATTTGTAACCTTAGTGCTAGAGAGACAAGAGACAAGATAGACCCCTGGAGCTCACTGGCCAGTCTAGCCTAGTCCAATTGTGAGCTTCAGGTTCTGAGAAGTGATCCTATCTCAAAAAAACAAGGTGGAGAGTGATTAAGGAAGACATCGTGTCCATCTCTGGCCTCTGTGTGCTGGTACATACATGAACATATACACCACATACACACACACACACACACACACACACAAAGAACAAGAGAGAGGGAGAGAGAGAAAGTCAATATTCTGTGCATTTTTAAGGCACTTGACTCACAGATGAATGACTACTGTGACTACTGGAAGGGTGTACAGGTTGGGAGGTCACTCAGGATAACAGAACTCTGAACTGGTGTTCTAAGAATTCACACCCAGATCCACATACCTCTAAATCTGGGGCTCATCCCCCTATACAGTTTTGTCCTTCACAGACAGCTGTCAAGCCAGGTGGAATGAGGTAGATGCCTTGAGGCAGGAACAAGGGTGTTTCCTAGAATCCCAGTAGAAAGAACTGAGAGGAAGTTTGGCTCTTTCTAAAAAAGTGATACTGGAGAGTGGGGGTAGAGGTGATTGGGTGGGGTGTGTGGAGAACGGAGGGGAAAAGCTGAAGAGTGGGGAGGGTCACAAGGAAATAAACCACCCACAGACTGAGGAGGAAAATGTCAGAGTGAGGCAGAGAGGAAACAGGGACGAAGGGACAGAGTTAAAAAGGCTGACAGATGGCCCTCAGCCTGCAGCCTCCCTGTTTCTAAGGTTCACCATGATGCCTTACCAGTAGAAAGAGCTGGAGGAAAGGATGGAGATTCACTGAGGTGAAGTTTCCTTGAGCAAAGAGATGATCAGAGAAGAGCCTGTTGGATTCAGCAACACAAGCATGGAGCAACCTCTGCTGGACACATTCTGAGATGGTCTTTGGGGGTCCAGAGGTGAACGTTCTCCTCAAGGCACCTGCAGCTCAATGAGGGGCCTGGCTGTCAAGGAGTCCCCAGAGCTCCATTAATGGACTCGTTGACTTTTAGGCCATAGACTTGAGAGGTTGTTTCTGTGCATCCAGCTGTGTCTTGGCTGTGATGCTATGGTGTTATTGATTCCTGTTTCCTTAGGGGAACTGTATTTCCTGGCCACCTCCTACCCAAGTGCCTACGCTCCACATGGATCTGTTTACAAGTTTGTCGACCCCTCAAGGTGAGACTTGGTGTCATTTTCTTCTTAGGTATATTTAAAAAATATTGATGCTTTCCTCTATGGCAGGTCATAAAAACAGTAATTACTCCATAAGAATGACCAAAAAATTGTCACTGAAATACATGTCTGCCCCAGGGGAGAAGCAGAGTAGGCAAACAGATGTGTAGAGCAACGCATGCCTGGGAATTATGGGTTGTCTGGGACAGGGTCTCTGCAGTTGGAAATGAGGCGCTGGATCCATTCTTTGGTGACTTGTCTCTAGAATAGTCCCATGGGTACGTCAGATGGAATCCAGGGCTTTTTTCTAGGCACACAGTGTGCCACTGAGCCATAGTCCCAGTTGTGTGGCACCTATTTTTGAAAAAAATATTCTGGGTCTGGAGAGATGGCTCAGCAGTTAAGAGCACTGGTTGCTCTTTAGAGGACCTGCATTTGGTTCCCAGCACCCACATGGCAGCTAACAACCACCCTTAACTCCAGTTTTTAGTCCCAGTTTTTATCTATTTTTTCTGGCCTCTGCAGGCATTGCATGCCTGTGGTGCACTTATACACATGTAAGCAAAACACTCATATGTGTAAAATAAAAAGAAATACATTTAAAAAATTCTTCTGGCAATTTCTCTCTGGGGTGCTCTGACAACAGGTATACTCTTCTCCTTACCTGGTTGAGTATTGCTGTTCTTCCTCCTGGGCTTGGTTGAGGTGGCAGGGTCTTTGACCAACACCTCAAGCTGTCAGGTTCCTCAGTAGCTCACCCGATCCTTTCTGGAGTTTGGCGGCGGTATGGGGCACTTGGTGGATTCGGTGCTGTTTATCTCTGCAACTTCATCCACCTCTCAGGGCTGAAGGACCTCTGGCAGAGCAGGCCACAGCCATATCCAGCTCCTCTTCTGTGAAGAGTTTGAGTCTGCGTCTGCTCCCTCAGGTGACAGCACAGCCTTGCTGAGCCTGTACTGCATTAATTGGACCTCTGGCAGAGCAGGCCACAGCCGTATCCAGCTCCTCTTCTGTGAAGAGTTTGAGTCCTTGGTCTGCTCCCTCAGGTGACAGCACAGCCTTGCTGAGCCTGTACTGCATTAATCTTGGGATTCTCTCCAAAGCAAGGTCTTCCTAGGAATTAGCTCATAGATAGACCTGCAGGGTAGCACTTCCCTCTGAGGCTTATTTTCCCCAGACTTGAGGAGAGTTCAGTGGACGTTTGGCAAATAGGTCCAGCCATTGCTCAAGACCCAGCATAGTTTCACTTGACAAACAGACTCCTCTTGGTCTGTGTGTTCTCAGAAGTTCTTGGAAGAGGTTTGATTACCCTGAGTCTCCACCTACAATGCCCTGCCGAGGGTGTAGATTGGCAACTTGGTGCTGGGCAGGCCCTACTGTTGGGTCTTTTCTCCCTCCCTCCCTCAGAATCTTCCCTCCTTCCCTCCCTTCCTTCTTTTTTTTTTTCTTCCTTTGAGACAGTCTCACACAGATCTGCTTGCCTCTGCCTCCTAAGTGCTGGAATTAGAGCCGTGCACCATCACACCCTACTTGTTGGGTCAGTTTTCTGTGCACACCTCCTGTGCTCTGGGAATAAAGTCATTCAACCTTCAGAGTGCTCTGGGTAGGTGATAATGCATGGTCAGGGAGGTCCCTTCTTTTTACTAACAGGTTTCGTGAGTGAATCTAGTTTCCTTTCTTTTGGTGCTTTCCTGATTTGGTTAGGGGGTAATCTAATTCCTCATTCCCAAGAGCAGTTATAAGAGGCCAGAGAAAGCAGTCCTACGGCCTTTTTGTTGTTTATCCTGAGGTGGGGTCTCATACCTGAAGCTGGCCTGGAACTCAATCTTGAACTCAAGACAATCCTCTTGCCTCAGCTTCCTGAGTGCTGAGGTTACAGGTGTGAACCACCAAGCCTGACCTTTTTCTACAGTGAAGACATCTTCATTCATTCACCTCTTTTATTGTTGACATTTACTATTACTGTGTGTTGGGGACCATAGTAAGCTTTATGCATGTGCAGGGTGGGAGTGATGTCTGAGAGATAGCTGGAGCAAAGTGGTGAAAACAGAGGTGTTGACAGAATTCCAAGGGGGTGGAAAACCAAGGCCTCAAGCCATGGTTAAGGAAACTGAAGCCTAGGCAAGTGAAGCCTCTGGCCCACTTGGGGTGGGAGTGATGTCTGAGAGATAGCTGGAGCAAAGTGGTGAAAACAGAGGGGACTGAGGGTTCCAGCTCTGCTCTGTAAAGGGGGTGCTCAGCGCTCAATGTTCCATTTTCAAAGTTGTACCTGGGAACATGCAATTTAAGAATGAGAGGTGGTCCATACTTCGAGGCTGTGCCATTACTTTCCAAAGGGATTTTCCTTACAGGGAATCAACTATCATCATCACCATCACGATCACTATCATCATCAACTCTATCACCATCATCATCACAATCACCATCACCTTCAGCACTATCACTATCATTAGCATTATCACCACCATTACTATCATTATCAAAATCATCACCATCCCATCATCACCATCATTAATATCATTATCACTATCATCATCATTTTCATCATCAACACCATCATCACCATTGTCATCACTATCATCATCTACTGAGTACTTGTTATATTCTTGTCTGTGTCCCAGTCTTCATCAGTCACTTATGGCATGCCAAGCACATGGCTCTGAGTTAATCTTCACCTGATTTGGACCCAACTGTGCCTGTTACCAGGCCCAAGCTCCTAACCTCTTCATTCCACTGTCTCCCCAGGGCCTTGTGCACCCTGTGGAGCCCACACCCTTTCTCCTTCCCATCTGAGCTCAGAGCACATTCCCATGACACCCCACTGTAGCCCATGGAGAAAAAGGGCCAGCCCCAGTTCCTGCAAATGTATACCTTCCATGGAGCTCAGCTTCCTGGTTGTATCTTCATGGTCTGTGTCATCACCCTTTCTGCTGTGTTTTTAGACGAGCGCCGCCAGGCAAGTGCAAATACAAGCCAGTGCCAGTGAAAGCCAAGAGTAAGAAGATCCGGTTCAGGCCACTCGCCAGTGAGTCCCTCTTTGTTTTAGCCTTAGGCATTGGTGCTGCCCATGTCCTTAGCAAACATGTGGCAATCCCCAGGATGAAGGGTCTTAATTTCTCTCTTGAGGGTTATCTTTTGGATAAGGATTGTTAACTTGTGACTCAGTGTACACATCTCTTCTGCATACCAAAGGAAGCAGGAGAGATACCTGCTTCTACCTCAATCTGTTGGTTTTAGTCATCAATTCATTCATCCATCCATTCATTCATTCATTCATTCATGTAATTGTTCATATTTTCATTCATTTGGCAATAATTATTTAGTATTTACTTTGGCAAATACTGTGGTCCTGTGTTAGGCATGGAGATGCAGCAATGCATGTGAAAAATATTTGAACTGAAAAAATTTAGAGCCACATGGGCATGGGGATGGCAGCTAAATAAGGATAGCTATGAGGTTCCGGTATAGAAGGATATTCAGGGCACTCTGAAGGACCCTGATGTGAGGAATTCTTCATGGCAGAATGGGGAGTCAGGGAAGATTGACAAGAGGAAGGATATAATCTTAGGGCAAACATTCCAGAGCTATGTATATGGAATGACCCTATCAACACAGGAAGGTATTTAGATCGAGACCGGAGAAGGAAATTAAAATATATAATACAAAGAATTTATATTATAAAACCCTCACAGCAAGCTGGGTGTGGTGACCCTTAGAGTTCCAGCTACTAAGGGAGCTGAGGCAGGAGGATTGCTTGGGTCTAGGAGTTGGAGGCCAGCCTGGAGAACACAAGACCCTATCTCTTAGAAAAGTTAGAAGGATATAAGGCTCCTTGGGCATTTCTTTTGCAGGTACTTTCCTGGGCTTAGCTTTTTTACTGAATAAACACTTGCCTTCCAGCCACAGTCTTGGATGTACTGAAGGAGAAGTCACAGAGAGCAGCTCAAAGAGCATCCAATGCAACCTTAGCCTCCAGTGCAGTCCAGGCTGCATCTCAGAACGGCGCCCCCAAGAAACCATCTTTACCCATAGGAGGCAAGAAAACAATTCGGGGGCCTGGTACCAAGAAGAAAGCCAGAGTGTGGTCCCCAGGTCTCCAGAACAAGAGAAAGCAGAACCCCAACACCCACAGTGGCAGGATGAAGCAGCCGGCACAGCAGAGGTCCCCAACAAGAAGTCACCCATAACCTCTTGGTCAGGTTGGCTGACAGGACCAGAGATTGGAGACTGGCCCAGGGAAGTGGACACTACTGCTTGCTGCCAAATGCAGGTCTTGGACATTCAGAAAGCCCAGGTGGAAGTGAGGCAGGCAGAACTTGACTCCAGAATGTGTGGTCTTTTTCTTCCAGGGAAATCTTGCTGTCTACTGAAGGAACAAATGTGCCTGATCTGTGGGCAGCATTTCTGTGAGGAGACCACAGCCCACCTGGCCCTGCGCCTGCCTTATGGCATGCTCTAGTCTCTGTACCTGCTTGGAATCCCACCTGGTGTCCCTTTAGCCTGGGGTAATAAATCAACACTGGTTACACCAGCATGTGTCCTCTGATCTGAGTGTTTGGCACTGGGAAATGTAGCATGCCTCACCCAGCTTGCTTAAGCATCCTACTTCACTCTCAGACTGCCAGTGACAGGCTCTTAAGGAAAATCCCTTGAAAATGGTCCTCTCGTTTCCCTAGACCGAAGCTCAGAAACTGAAGACAAGCAGGTTCAGAGTCTGATCCTCCAGCGCCTCTTATTTGGGCTTAGCAAATGGCTAAAAGTGAATCCCAAAGGTTACACAGGGGGTTATGACATGTCTTTTACTATAAAGAGAGTTTAGAGCCTTGGTTATGCAGTTCTTAGAAAACTGAAGGTTTACAGCCGGGAAAGGAGAAAGACCATACTGGCTTAATGCTTATGCCTTAAGCTGGGCTCATTGCTATTTAACATTTTTATTTGGAGCATCTCTCTGGGAATATTGTGTCTACGCAGGCAGCCTTCACAGCAACTTGCTGGAATTTTTTAAAAGCCTTCACAGCAACTTGCTGGAATTTTTTAAAACCCTTCACAGCAACTTGCTGGAATTTTTTTAAATTTTGCTTTATTTATTATTTTATGTCTATGAGTGTTTTGCCTACATGTATGTGAATGCACCACATACATACAGTGCCCACAGAGGCCAGAAGAGAGCATTGGGTGCCCTGGAACTGGAGCTGTGGATGGTTGTTAGCCACTGTATGAGTGCTGGGAACCAAACCCAATCCTCTGCAAGAGCAGCCAGTGCTATTAACTGCAGAGCCATCTCTCCAGCCCCTGTGATGGAATTCTAAACTTAGCTAGTAAGGAAAACTTCGACTAGACTCGGGGTGAGGGCCAACCCGTCCCCTTAGTTTTCTCTGTCTTCTATCTTGCCTCAGTCATGGCTGGAGGCAGAGAGTATTAGAAAGCTCTTTAGCTGGGTTTGGTGGCACACACGTGCAATCCCAGCACTCAGGAGGCTGAGGCAGGAGGATTACCATGAGTTCCAGGGAGACTATGTCTCAAAATCAAACCAAATCAAATCAAACCAAACCAAACCCAAAAGAGATTTCTTTCTTGATAATTCTGTTCCTTAAGGGCCAAGCACTTCAAAGGTAGGTAGGTATTCCCTGTACTAAGGCATTCAAGGATCTGGGACAGCCTTGTAAGGCATTCAGTTTATGAAGTCCTGCCTCTTCCCTTTACTATGATTAAGGATAGTTTTCCTTGCTTCAGCTCATCCTATTTTTCTAGAGGGAATTCATGACATCACCTCCACAGCAGTCCCAGAAACAGATTGCCTGCCCACAGAAAGGTAGAAAATGTGAATGTGTCCAGTGTGAACAAAGCTAAAATCTTGGAAGGTGAGATAGCAAGCTTTAGAGTTGCCAAGGCTAACTCAGCTGAATCAATACACCTGCTCTTAGCAGAGCAGACATCATCTTGGGGAGACACTGTGCCAGGCCCACTGCTGGCCTAGGAGTGAGAGAGACTCTTGTGAGCACAGGTTAAGAATTAACTGGAAGACAAGTTCAGAGGACTCGAACTCCCCAAACCCACACTGTTCGATGGAAAGATAATGCTAGTTTATTTGGGAGCCACAGGTGTGATCTGAAAGATTCTAGTGTCCACATGAACAAAATAGGTAAAACTAATTATAATTATACATTTTATTTCATCCAGTATGTTCAAACATTATAGTTAAAGTATAATGTAATGATCACTAGACATAGTTTACATGTTTTTTTTCTTTTTTGGTTATAAGTTTTCTAAGCTGAGGTATGCTTTATTGCTTCCACCCATCTCCATTTGATCCAGACTACCTTACCAAGCTCAGGCACTGAGATCTGGGGGCAAATTTATGTGGTCAGAAAAGATTCTTGGCCCCTACCCCAAGTGTCTGTGCTTGGGGCATTCTGGAAACCGTGGAGAAAATAGAGAAAGGCTAAAACCTCCAACCAGCCTGGAACATTCATTTTTGGAAGTTCCGTCCCCACCCTTGCGGAGGACACGACCTTGGACCCAGGCTGGGCTTGCAGGCTAGGGCTGCCACGTGACGGCTACGGCGCGGGTCCAGGCCTGGCTGGCCTTGCTCACTACCAAGGCCAGGGGTGGGAGGTGCAGCCGGGCCCGCGGTCCGAGACTCCGGGAGCGAAGCCATGGCGCCTCCTGCCGGCCGGCCACCGTAACTGCAGGCTCGGCAACGCCTGGCTCTCCCAGGCCCCCTGAGGCCAAGCTTCACAGAAGACCCTCACGTCCCGCATAATGCTGGGGCTGCAAGCGGGTCTTTTTTTTCTTCTTGCTTTTGCTGCATCCCAATAATTGTTTTTTTTCTATGTTAATTTTCTATGTCAGTTCTAAAATTCCTCCGAATTTCAGTAGCGACGACCTGCCAGATGTAACATTTTAGGAATCCCTATTCCCATTGAGACTTTTCTGTTTGTGGTTGGTTTATTTTTATAATTTTTTTATTCGTTGAGAATTCCCTATATTTGTACAATGTACATTGATCATAGCCATGCACCACTGCCTTCCTCCAGCTCCCCTAGTGTCCCCACCCAACGTCCCAGCTTCATGCCCTCTATTTTTTGTTGTTAGTACCTCCCTTAGTGCTTCCCAATAAGCACACGGGTGTATAGCCATCCACTGGGGTATGAGCAACCTACCAGTGGTCATGTTCTCAAAGGAGAGTGCCTCTTCCGCCCTCAGCATATCCCTCAGCTGCCAATAGATCCTCCTGTGGTGGTGGGATTTCAGGGGCCCTCCCCCTTCCTACAGAATTTTGACTGGCTTGATTGTGTGTGGGTAACCACAGCTGCTGTGAGTTGATGCAAACAACAGCCATGTCATGCATGTCTTGAAATGAGCATTTCACAGCTCTCCTCCCCATCTTCTGGCTCTTAATTCTTTCCACCCCCTCCTGTAAAATTTCCTGAGCCTTGGATGGTGGGAGGTTGATGACCCACCCACAGCTGAGCAGTTATTTATACTTGGCACTTTGACCAGCTATGAGTCTCTGTATTAACTTCCACCTATTGTAAAAAGCTTCTCTGACCAAAGTTGAGAGCAGCCCAAATCTATGGGTTTGTAAACATATTTAGAAGGCAGCTTGATAGGATGACCATTTAGCACACAACAATAGGTTTCCCCCAGGGCCTATGATCTCCGCAGTCACAGCTTTTGACCAGGTTTATAGTACCAGCCATGAAATCCTTCTTGTGGAGCAGGCCTCATATCCAACCAGAAAGCAGTTGGTTATCCCCATGACTGTTATGCCACTATTTCACCAGTGGGCACACCTTACCACCAGGTCAGTGCTGCATCATGCTAGGTGTACCACTGATGCTTCTCCCCAAGTAGCCTGCATAGTACCTTCTGCCACAGTAAACAAAATAGCCAGCATGGAGAGTGATTCCTGGTCAGTTTGAGGTTGATTTCTCTATATCCTGTATCCAAAGTGAATAATATCTTCATCAATAGGGTCTTACTATTTAATTATGGTGGGCAGGCAGCCATCCCATGCCTGGCACTGAGAATTTCATTTAATAACCCATGTCTTCTGAAGCAACATTGTCCACTGATGCAGGCTGTTCAATCTCTCTCTCTCTCTCTCTCTCTCTCTCTCTCTCTCTCTCTCTCTCTGTGTCTATATCTGTTGGGGTTTCATAAAGCTTCTTTCTGTATCCTTACTTTTGGGTAACCTAATCCCTTACCCTCTCATCTCCCCAGTTCCCCTAGGTCCTCTTAAATCTTTAACCCTGAGTTTCTCTCTCTCTGTCCTAGTTAGCTTTCTATTAGCTGTGATAAAACAGTTGAACCAAAACCAGCTTGGGGAGGAAAATACATCCCAGGCACAGTTCATCACTGAGGGAAGCCAGGGCAGGAACTCAAGCAGAAACCTGGAGATGGAAACTGAGGCACAGACTACAGAGGAACACTGTCTACTGGCTTGCTTCTCTGGCCTATGCTCAGCCTTGCTTTCTTATACAGCCCAGGATCACCTGCCTAGGGGTAGCATCTTGAATTCTTTGATCATATTTATAGTTAAAAAAATTCTGTGTCCTGGGGTTCCTCTGGGTAGTTCTCATTATAGACCACTTCTGCAGGATTGATGGGATTTGGTAGGAACATATCTTGGCTTTTCATATTATTTGTGTTTTTGCAATGTGACCACCACCTCCTCCTCCTCCTCCTCCTCCTCTTCCTCCTCCTCCTCCTCCCCCTCCTCCTTCTCCTCTTGATTGTGTACCTGATATGAAATTCTAGATGCTTTTGTTGAGTATAACTTTGGTTCTGTTTTTATTGCTGTCATAGTGTGGTTGATTTCTGATCAGGTATGTAAAGATACCTGTGCTTCAGGTTTCCATTTTTGATTTTTTAGTTGTAGGGATGCGGCGATTCCAGTCTGGTCTTGTATGCCAATTGGGCAGTCATAGCTAGAACTTTGAGTGTGGAGACTGCAAAGGAGTGGGAGGTCTAAATATCTCCCCAGGGTGTTTAAGCCCCTGGTGGTTCCTGTCCTGAGGAGGGAAGATGGTGAAGGAAGGGCCAATTTGAATCTTTTAAAATATTATTATGATTATGATGATGATGATTATTATTTGAGACAGAGACTCATGGAGCCCAAACTGGCCTCAAGTTTCCTATCTAGCAGAGAAGGACTTTGAACTTCGGATCCTCCTACTTTTACCTCCTAAGTGCTGGGGTTATAGGCATGTGTCACTGCCCTGGTTTAATGTGGTGCTGGGGATAGAACCCAGTACATGCCAGGCAAGTACTGTACCAACTGAACTACATCCCTGGCTCTTGGTTTGAATGTTAACTGGAAGACACCTGAGATGCAGAAGGTGGACAGCTGTGCAGCTGTTACGCTGGGATATCAGCATGATATGGGGCCTGATGTACTGGCTCTTCAGAAATGTCCTGACTTCAGAGGCTCCTATTCTTCATCCAGGAAGTGTGTCTATGAGAGTAGCACCTCCCACAGTGCTGGGTGAAGCCATCCTGCTGACTGCACACTGGAGTT